AAATATTTGGGATTCCTGCGAAGCCCTTGTGAGCTCTCTGAGTTCAGGATTGTTTTAAGGAGATGTGGCATCCTCATGGCAGACTTCACTTACGGCTTCCTACCTGTCCTGACTCATGCCTGACAGTAGCTCACTCCCCAGTCTACTTTCTCCCTGAGTGTTTGGTTTAGATTTAGACCCAGAATTGATCCCCCCATCTCTCTCCTTTGGGGAAAGGTTTGGGGGAGATTTAGCTCTTTCTTTGTTTGATCTCTCCATCACTCACTTTCGTTTGTTCCCCCCTTTCTTCCATTCCTCTCTCTGAGGTTCCCTTTTTCTCTGGCAAAGGGAGTGACCTATGTCTGGTTTCTCTCTCTATCCTAGCAGATGATGGGATGGCGAATGAGGTGGAGAATCCTCAACAAGACGATGCTGAGCAAGTAGAAGCACATGGGACATTCTCAGAAAAATCCTGGAGTTGTGCACAGGCAAACAACTGTGAGAGTCAAAACAGATCAGAGAAAAAGTTCAGTAGAGGCTCAGACCTTATTAGACATGAGAGAATGAACACAGGAGAAACACCGTACATCTGCCTGGAGTGTGGGAAAACCTTCAAACATAACTCAGTCTTTATCATACATCAGAGAATCCACACTGGAGAGAGACCATACACATGCCCCGAGTGTGGGAAAAGCTTCAGTCGCAGCTCAAACCTTATCACACATCACAGAATCCACACAGGGGAGAAACCCTACACTTGCCATGAGTGTGGGAAAGGCTTCAGTCGGAGCTCAGAGCTTATGATACATAGGAGAATCCACACAGGAGAAAGACCCTACAGCTTGCTGTGATTGTGGGAAAAGCTTCATTCGGAGCTCAGAGCTTAATAAGCACCAGAGAATCCACACTGGAGAGAGACCCTTCAGATGTACTGAGTGCGGGAAAGACTTCATTTATAGCTCACAGCTTGTCACACATCGACGAATCCACACAGGAGAGAGACCCTACTCATGCCTTGAGTGCGGGAAAGGCTTCACTTCTAGCTCACAGCTTGTCTCGCATCAGAGAATCCACACAGGAGAGAGACCCTATTCATGCCCTGAGTGCGGGAAAAGCTTAAGTTCTAAGTCACAGCTGGTCTCACATCGGAGAATCCACACAGGAGAGAGATCCTATTTGTGCCCTGAGTGCGGGAAAAGCTTCAGTCATAGTTCACAGCTTATCACACATCAGAGAACCCACACAGGAGAGAAACCGTACACATGTCCTGAGTGTGGGAAAAGCTTCAGTCGTAGCTCAAACCTTATCATGCATCATAGAAGCCACACAGGTGAGAAACCCTACACATGCTGTGATTGTGGGAAAAGCTTCAGTCGGAGCTCAGAGCTGATCAGACATCAGAGAATCCACACAGGAGAGAGACCTTACGCATGCCCAGAGTGCGGGAAAAGTTTCACTCGGAGCTCAGATCTTAGTAAGCACCAGAGAATCCACACTGGAGAGAGACCCTATAGATGCCCTGAGTGCGGGAAAGGCTTCCGTTACAGCTCACATCTTGTCTCACATCGGAGAATCCACACAGGAGAAAGACCCTACTCATGCCCTGTGTGTGGGAAAAGCTTCACTGATAGTTCACAGATGATCACACATCAGAGAAGCCACACAGGGGAGACCCCCTACACGTGCCCTGAGTGCGGGAAAAGCTTCAGTTGGCACTCAAACCTTATCACACATCAGAGAATCCATACGGGAGAGAAACCATACACATGTCCTGAGTGTGGGAAAAGCTTCAATCGGCGATCAAACCTTGCTGCACATCACAGAATCCACACAGGGGAAACACCCTATAGCTGCCCTGACTGTGGGAAAAGCTTCAGTCGGAGCTCAGAGCTCATCATACATAAGAGAATCCACACAGGAGAAAGACCCTACACTTGCTGTGAGTGCGAGAAAAGCTTCATTCGGAGCTCCGAGCTTATCATACATCAGAGAATCCACACTGGAGAGAAACCCTTCAGATGCCCTCAGTGCGGTAAAGGCTTCAGTTATAGCTCACAGCTTGTCTCACATCAGAGAATCCACACACGCGAATAACACTATGCTTGTATTCAGTAGGGCTGCCCAAAGATTTTTTGTTTCTTTTTTGTTATGGGTTTTTTGTTGGGTTGGTTGTTTGGTGTTTCTAATACATTGGCTAATTCCCACATATTGGTCTTTAAGGTTGATTGCACCATTTCCTTTACTGTTGTCTCTCAGCTCCCTTCTGGTGAGTTGCCGCCTTCTATCTTTTGCAGTTCACCTTACTTTGGGGTGAATCCTCCGATCCTTTCTATCAACTCCTTTTGTCTTATGAGTTATGGGAATGTGTGTTCCTCCTGGCAGAAATGTCCATCAGTCCGAGTTGGGAGAGAGAGGGTTGACCTCATCTAGCTACAGTGAGATAAAAACTATCTGTGCCTTGTCTCCACTAGAACTGTACATTGAGTTAGGACATGTCTACACTACCACTTATGTCAGCAAAACTTATGTTGCTCAGGGGTGTGAAAAAACCACACACCCCGAGTAACATACGTTTTGCCGGCATAATTGGCAGTGTACACAGCGCTATGTCAGTGGAAGAGCTTCTCCCGCGCACATAGCTATCGCCACTCTATGGGGGTGGTTTAATTATGTCAACGGGAGAGCTCTCTCCCGCCAGCATAGAGCGACTACACAAGAGATTTTACACTAGCGTGACTGCATCAATCCAGCTGTGCCGCTGTAAGGTCTCTAATATAGACACGGCCTAAATTGCTCAAATTAGCTATTTTGATGTAAAAACACAACTATCTTTTCAGGGCAGACATAACCCAGCTGCGGTGGTTGTGGTTAGCTTTCCCCTTGTGCTCACCTGATCTCCATCACTCTTCTTAGTCTAGATAAACCCTGAGCATCGCATTGCAAAGTGAATGTTAGTCATCGGATTTCCTGGTTGGGACAAGATTCTTATTCCCACTTGTTCTGACATTGTTTGTGGTTGTGCTGAATAGCAGGTAGTTTTTTTCTACCAGTTTTCTTATTTAGAATATAGTGAGATGCAACAAAAAGGCAGGAGGAAAGGTAGAAAAAAAGGATCATTTCAGCGTCTGGGATATCCAGAGGAGATGGTGTGAGTCAGAGGGATTCCTTTCCAATCACCATCATGAATCTCCCGCCACTCCAACAGCATTGGCTTCTGAGTGAGCCACAATAGCATCTCCTCCCCATGTTCTATCCCTCCAGCTCCCAAAGTGTCACATGAAGCAGCTTTCTCAGCTCTCTGTGCTTAGGTATCAGGCTTTGATCCTAAATCAGACTCGTTGGGGCTGGAAATGAGTGTCACAGGCTGAGGGGGGGAATTTGAGAGAATCCCAAACAGATTAACCTTTCCGTGCTTTAATCTGAGTTGGGATTGTTTCCAGATGGGAAAGTTGGCTGATTTTCCCCATTATGATGATGCTAAAACCTTTGTAACTAACATGACTGAATAGTAATGAGGTGATGCTGAATGAAGAAGGTTTGAATGGATCAGAGGACAGTGCAATAGGAAAATCTGTTCTAATTTAGCATCATGAGATGTAAGATGCCCTGGAATTTCATTGTATATGATACTGAAACTGTCTTATTCGCCTGTGGGTTTTTCTCTTTTTCCTGAGGGAATTTGATAACATAACTGGATATTAGTTTTTTTATGATAGGATGAAATTCAGTTTTTTTGTGGCGTTTGAGACAAATGACCATTTACTAAAACAATAATTTATTTTTGTGCGTGTCTTTTTCTACACCTCCATTATGACATGGAGGAAGTTCAAGAGCAATTCAGTCGTCAGGAACGAACACTCAAAGCTATTGGATGTGCAACCAGAGAAACAGTAGCATTTTTAAATTGTACATCTAAATAAGGAACGGAATTAAACAACACTTTGATCATATAATTTGTGTGAACATTGGCTCAGATGATTCAAGGACAATATTCCACAGTAAGTGATTCGAAACTAAGCAAAATGCCCATGTATTTGGGTCGAAAGGCAGTTGTGGCCCAGGCCTACCAGGAGGTTACTTCTGAAGATTTCTCTTTCCTAATCAAGTGCACATTGCCTATTATTTCAGAACGCAGTTTAGATCTTTGCAGAGATGGAGAAAATGGAAGTGGCATTTTTGTTGAGTTTACACCTTGTAGATGCTGCAAATGTGTATAAAATAAAATCCGTTGTGTGAGTTAGCTGCAGCAGTAGATCTATTTTTAATAGATACCCCACCTTTAGTAACTTACACAGCTTGTGAACCAGCCCCATATCTGTGCCACCAGATTAAATAAATAAACTGGGCATGCTTGGCTGGGGAAGCGATTCCTCACTGTATGACTACTGAGATTTTCTGTGATGTAGTAAAGGATTCTGCTCCAGAGAAGTAAAATTTACCCTGACCATCGCCAAGAATTAGACTAGATCTTAAGTAGAAATAATAGGCATCCAGTGTTTAATTTTTACCCCAGAGATGGAAACTAGGGTAACCTTAGGCTCAGGTAAACTATTTATGTTTAGAACACTACCTCCTAGTTCAGTGGCAGTGATTATGGTTCAAACGATGCTGTGGTAAGATATGAGGGAGTTGTCCTTTACCATTTGGATCCAAAGTTTTATGAGCTAAAGAAAGAAACGGTTGATGCCTTCAGAGGGCAGTCCTTCCCTATGGATCCCAATCTGACTGTCTTGTTGGAGAACAAGCACTTCCATGCTGTGCAAGTGATGATAAAACAATGAGGAAATAAGTGTCAGACTCCCAAGCTCAGACTGCAGGACTGACGAATGTTGAGTCCTGATTCTATGAATCTGTCTCTCAGTTTTGCTCATGTATCTCATGAATTTGCATCACTTCTCCACCTCCTGCTACTTTGAAAGATTAAAATTGTGAAAATAGAATACAAGTGGTTTTTTCTCATGATGAGAACACATTTGAGATGACTTCCACCAAAACTTATGTCCGAAGAGCCAGAGATAAATGAGCTCTCAGAAATAGAAGGCACCTATGTTAGTACAGAACACAACTTTACAGAAGCTCATTTGGTGGAAAAGGGGAGTAAGAGAAAACTAACACACATGATCAAATTGTGTACTCTTCAAATATGTTGTTACCGGTGAAAATGGAATTAAACATAAAGTTTATTGCAGAATAAGAGACTGATTATGTGATAACCTGAATTACTTTGAAACACTGAAAGTTGTCTGGGTTTTCTTCTGGGTTCAGAAAAGAATTAGATAAGTTTATGTAGTACAGGTCCATCAATGACTATTAGCCAAGATGGCTAAGCCTCTGATTGCCAGATGCTAGGAATGATTGATACGGGATGGATCACTCGCTAATTGACGTGTTCATTCTCCCTGAAGCATCTGGCATTGGCCACTGTCAGAAGACAGTATACTGGGCTAGACGGACCATTAGTCTAACCCAGTATGGCCATTCTTAGGTTTCTGTCCTCTGCCTCCCCTGAGTAGTATATGAAATGGTGACTAATTCTGTGAAGTTTAGTTGATGTAATTTACCCTCTTTGCATTAAGGAGTTCTAAAGCAAAACCTCACTCAAAAGGGTTTGGTGTATGGTAGTATGTAGGAGAAATAGTGCATATCAAAATAAAGACCTAGTATAGACTTTAATTATTTCTATTTCAAATGGAATTTTTAATAAGCTTTTAACATAATGTTTCTGTTGAGAAATAATTATGTAATCTTTTACCCAGTTACACTGTAACAGCCGCTGAGATCTCCAGTTCTCTTGTTTGCAAACCACATCTTGTTTGATGTCCCATCTGTCAGGAGGTGTCTTAATTTAAATTGGTGATGGGTACAAGATAGTAGCTTTTCTGGTTTTTTTAAGTTTTGTTTTTTTGCAACCAGTTTTTTCATGGGTGCCAAGGCCCTTTTCAGTTTGAGTAGGCCAGCTATTAGAGCACGTCCATTTAACCCTCAGACTAGGC